AGAAACCTTTATGAAAAACTAATCAATCTGACCATATAAAATAACTAAAATTTTCTATTTAATATCAAAACATTGTAAGTACAGTGAAATATAAATAATCAAATGGTATACACCAATGAGTAATGTAATTCGTATACAAAGTGCTTTTATTAGCAGACATTTATAAAAGGAAAGAATCAAAGAAAAAATGGGCAAATGATGTGGACAGTAAATCACACCAGTAAAAATACAAACTGGTTTAAAAAAAAAAAAAAGGCATTTTCTTGATTGCAAACAACAGAAACTGACACGGGTTAGTTTCAGCAGTAAGGAATTTATAGGAAGCCAATCAGGCTAGCTCACGCAACAAACAGAGCCAGAGAAACAGGCTTGGGCAGAAACCCAGGAAGGCAGATACCGGTAAGAACTTGCCACTAGAGCAGCCAGCTGGACCCTCACTGCCACCATTGCTGGCACTGCCACCACTACTTCACCTGTGCTGAATATAGAGCCCCTAGATTCACTAATTTGCTGTGTTGTGTCCAGTTAACCTTGTATCAATACTTCCAGAGCCAAGGCCCAGGTGGGAGCATCTGATTGCCCTCGCTTCGGTCACCTTCCTGGGCTCTGGCGTCCTGGGGTTGGAAGGGGAATATCTGTTCCCCAGTTCCTGCTCATTTTTCACAGTGGGAGCTTGAGCTGTCCTGTCTAATTCAGGATCCTTTCCAAAGTCTGTTTAGATGCTAGATAGCTGAAGAAACAGCACATGATGTTCAACTTCATTCCTACCAACTGAAAAACTCAACACTGTCTTGGGATTGGAAAATGCACACTTCGCATTCATTGATGGCAGGATAAAGCTTTTCTGGAGGTCAGCGTGACAATAGGTATCAAAATATGAAATGAAGATACCTTTGACCAGAGGTGTCAATTTAAGGAGATAGTTGCAGGAATGGACCAAGATTGGATCATGATGATTATTCACTTCACCACCCCTTCTAATTTGTGTTTCCCTTGCATGGGTAAGGGGTAGAGAGGGACGGTGGAAGATTTACTACAGAATGTTGTTTGCAATAGGTCTTTAAAAAAAAACATCTGTGTGCTCCAATTAGGAATTCTTTTCCAATCCTCTTCTGGCCAAGCTGGGGTAGGTTGGCTTTGGGGCCCTATGGAGACCGATAAACCTGGAATGGTGGGAGGGGCTTGATTGGGAAGGGGGTCATGCATCCCTCTAAGGTGGTCCCATGCTGTTTAGATATATTGCTGCCAAATAATCAATATGCTGTAACAATGGCTACCTTACTAGGTATCCAATAATAAATAAGAGGAGCCTCTGCTGTATGGAAGCCTATACTTCAGGGCAGGTGACAGGTTGTAAGCAGACTTCTACTGTGGTAACATTAGTGTCAGGACTAAGAGGTGCTGAGAGAGCCTGCAGAAAGGACAAGGAGAGGTTAGCTAAGTGAAAAGGCTCAAGGAAAGGCGTTTGGGATAGAGGAAACAGCTTGAGCAAAGGCCCACATGTCTAGATCAAATTGCCTGAAGGTGTGGAGGTTAAGACCAAGATGTTCCATAGTGCTGAGGACTGGAGTTGCAGTGGGGCAATGTTCAATCAGGGTGAGCCTGAGCTTGCCCCTGTGTCAAGTCAAGGAAGTCACGTCTGGTGATGGGCTCAGCCCTAATTTCTTTGAAGAGCATGATGAAATTGGATTCCATGTGGCTTGCTTGGACTGGAGAGGAGGGCTTGGGCATTAGGGTCATATTCAGGCTAAGACTCTAGTATAAAGAGAAGCAGCATGATGAAACTTCCCACTGGGTTTTGACTTTCAGTTTAATAAATTTTAAAAAGTAGGATTTGTTAGCACCTGCTGTCTGTCAGCCATGAATGACTGTAAAAGGAAAGAATGATGTTCTGGAAAGCAGTCAGCAGGACAGTCACATGGACAAGTCCTCTTGGTAGATAAGATGAAAGATTATTTCCAGCAGATAGGAGAAAACCTGATCTTGACCAATTCCAGATCTGTCTTGGGTTAAATACCTAGCCCTAATTAAAGTGGCTCTGTGTCTTAGTTTGTGTTGTCCGTAGATCAGAGACTCAGACAAAGACTTGGATGAAGGTAATATATTTGGGAAGTGATCCTGAAAGCAGGAGTGAGGAAGTAGAGTAGGAAGAGGAGGACGGGGAAGTAGAGTAGTTCAGAAAAGGGTGCATTATTCAACAGGTTATAGAGGGCAAATGGGGCTCCATTCCTCGGGAAACACTGAAGAACTCCATTAGGTACATCTGAAAGAGTTGTTTCTCCAAAGGATGCAAGGCCTGGGGGTTTACCCAGTGGCTGGTATTTCCTACTGGTTGAAGGTTAGCCCTATTGGGGGAGAAGGAGTTGTTAATTCAAACTCCCCTCTGGTGAGGGCTTTGGAGAAAACCCTGAGGCAGAAAAGCAAAGAGGTACACAGCAGGCATTTGAAGTGGGGGACTCTCACAATGCAATGGCTTACACAGTTTATGGAGGTGGCTGAAATTGGAGATGGATTCAGGGCATAAAACATGGGTAGTGAAAAGCTTTTGCTATGCTCCATTTCTTTCTAGTGCAGTTATTCATTCAACCAAACATTTATTAGAACCCTGGTCCAATGCTGGGTGTCTATAGTCAACAAAATAGATCTAGTCTCTGCCTTAAGTACTGATAGTCTTTTGCAGATTTTGAGCAAGCAGAAAGGTGCTAACTAACATGTAGGTCCAAAATGGAGAAAAAAAAAAATGAAGCAGCATGGGATAACTACTTAAAAGCTAACTTTTTAAAAAAAAGATTTTTATTTATTTATTCGTGAGAGACACAGAGAGAGAGACAGAGACAGAGACACAGGCAGAGAGAATCAGGCTCCATGCCAAGAGTCCAATGTGGGACTCGATCCCTGGACTCCAGGATCACACTCTGGGCCGACGGCAGGTGCTCAACCGCTGAGCCACTCAGGTGTCCCTAAAGGCTAACTTTTAAGTCCATTTGATATTTAGGGAGACCACAGCCCCAAGACCCTTCCCATCACCTAAAGACAAGCAAACAAGCAAGGAAGCAAACTTTTAACACAATGGCTGGGAATCATGATAAAGTGTTGTCAAAGTGCTTGAAATTCCACTAAAAGCTATTCCTTTCTTTTGTCCTTCTGTCACCCATGATTTTCATATATGAAAAAAAACCCTCAAATATGTCTGCAAAGGTTGAAGGACATTGCATCCACACTGAAGTATGAATGATCAGACGGTTTTCTTCGTGGTGTCCAGACAAGCTCAAGATGAAGTGAAGAATAGATATTTTGAGTAGGAGGTAGGAATGTAGGTGATTTGAAGGCTAGTGCAGAGCACCCTGGGGTTGGGGTATCACCATAAAGACCCTGTTTACTTGGGATGGAAAGCTCTGGCAAAAGCTATTTACTGTGAAATGTGGTATAAGGTGGGACTTATGTTTTAAAAAGTTGAAGGGCTCTCCCTTCTGACTTCTCTCTAACCAGGACTCAGGTTAAAGGTTAGCAAAGGAGAATCTACAGAGAGGTCATAAACCAATTGATTTTGAGCTGAAGGTAGCCCAAAGATGTACTTTTTTTTTTTTTTTTTTAGTTGAACCAACATTTAAAAACAGGATTCCCAACTTCTCTTTAAAAAGTCAGATGAAACAAAACAAAACAAAACAATAAAATAAAAAGATGATCTGAGCCCTCATTTTTGCTTGGAATAATTGGACGGAGCTCAGTGGCTATATTTTATTTTATTTTATTTATTTTATTTTTATTGGAGTTCAATTTGCCAACATATAGCATAATCAGTGGCTTTAGAAAGAAGTTGATTTGCAGTTTGCCGTGGTCCCCATCATTCCTTACATTCTCCGAACAACTGAGAGTCAAGTCACCTGAAGTATTAACTGGTCAAAATGATGACTAAAACACCATGATCCTTTAACTCACTGATATGACCTATCTTGGTCCCTGTGACATTTGTGGGTCTGTGACCTTTCGTTTAGAGGTCAAATCTAGGGGCTTTGAAACAAACTTGGTTTTGAAATGGATACATCGTAGCAATCTCAAAGACACTGAACTGAAAATTACGGGAAACATTGCATGCTTAGCACAATGCTTGAAACATAGGAGCTATTATCAGCATTCGCCAGTGGAAAAATGCCAAGAGGGCAGGCAAAACCGTGTTAATTCCATACTTTGTCACATTCCCAGCTCCTAGCTGTGGTTGGCACGCAGGAGAAACTGTTGAATGAATGAATGATGGTAGAGCTTAGCGGGGATTTAAAGGTAAGTCTGAGGAGCAAGGTGATTCGGATCATACTGTTTCACTGCAAGCCCAAGGTGCCACCTGGAAGACAAGCCTGTTGGGACGTGCCAGATTCTGTGATGGCGTCCCGGTATGCGCGCAGGCTGTCCGGGTCCGCCGGGAGCGGGGCAGGGCCGGCTTGCTCGGGCAGGACTGGGTCAGGGCCACGGTCCATCACTGCTTCCAGGGGCTGGTAAGGGGCGGCAACCTGATTTCCGCACTTTCTCAAGGCCTCCGCCTTCAGATCAGAAGACGGAGAGACCCACCCCTGGGGTCCATCCCCGGGCACCAGCCCAGCGCTGTCCACCTCGCCAGGAGCATGCCCACACTAGACATGGCCTCTCTCGGACTTCACAGAGCGGGACCGCCCCGGGCCCGAGAGCCGCCTCGTCTGGCTGGAGGGGCACGTCCATTCCCACAGTCAACATGGCAGCCGCGGCGGCTTCAGCGCCCGGCGGGCGGCGCCGAGGGGCGGGTCACGTGAGCGGCCCAGCTGGGCGGCCCGGCGCGCGCGCGCGCGCGCCCGCCCGCCCAGCCGGCCGCCGCTAGCTTGCTGGCTCGCTCGCTCGGCGGCGCTCTGAGGTGTGTGGGGCGGCGAGCCCCCCGGCCCGGCGAGGCGCGGTGCGGCGGGATGCGGCGGCGGCCGTGGCGGGGCCGCGGGCCGGGCGGGAGGGCTCGGTGATGAGCGTCGGCGGTCGCCGCCATGTCCAAGGTAACGGCGCCCGGGCCCGGGCCGCCGGCGGCGGCGGCGGCGGCGGCGGCGGCGGCGGCGGCGGCGGGCGGGAAGGAGAAGCGCTCCTTCAGCAAGCGGCTGTTCCGGAGCGGCCGCGCGGGCGGCGGCAGCGGCGGCGCTGCGGGGCCCGGAGCGGCCGCGCCCGCCTCGCCCTCGTCGGCGCGCTCGGTGGGCAGCTTCATGAGCCGCGTCCTCAAGACGCTGTCCACGCTCTCGCACCTCAGCTCCGAGGGCGCCGCCCCGGACCGCGGCGGCCTCCGCAGCTGCTTCCCGCCCGGGCCGGCCGCCGCGCCCACGCCGCCGCCGTGCCCGCCGCCGCCCGCCGCGCCCGCGCCGCCCGCCAGCGCCGCCGAGCCGGTGCCCGGGGTGGCGGGGCTCCGGAACCACGGCAACACGTGCTTCATGAACGCCACGCTGCAGTGTCTCAGCAACACCGAGCTCTTCGCCGAGTACCTGGCGCTCGGCCAGTACCGGGCGGGGCGGCCCGAGCCCTCGCCTGACCCCGAGCAGCCTGTGGGCCGCGGCACGCAGGGCCAGGGCGAGGTCACCGAGCAGCTGGCGCACCTGGTGCGGGCCCTCTGGACCCTGGAGTACACCCCGCAGCACAGCCGCGACTTCAAGGTGAGCCCCGCCGGGGCGGGCCCTGCACCCCGCGCCCCGCGCCCGGGGCCGTGCGTCGGCGCGGCGGGCGCTAAGGAGCGCCGGGGCCGAAGAGGTGTGGGCTCCGAGTCTAGGACCGTTCCCCTGACCCTGAGGGAGGCGCGTCCGTCCGTCCGTTCGTTCGTTCGTTCATTCATTCATTCATTCATTCATTCATTCATCGTGGGTTTGTGAAGGGCTTCCTACACGCCTGGCCCGCTGATGGGCCCTGGAGGGATATGGCGGAGGAGTAAGACCGGCTGCCTGCTTGGAACTTACATTCTTGGGTATGGGAGTGTTGAGCCTGGCTTCAGATCCTCGTCCTGCCACTTACAGGCAGTGTGACCTCGGGCAGCTTACTCAGTCTCTCTGTGCCACTTTCCTCATCCGATACCTACATCATAGGTGGTTGTGAGCTGCAGACAGGTGGATATGTTAGCTTCAACACTAGGAGATTACCCATTTGTGACCGTTTTTGACTTTTTTATTTATTTATGAGAGACACACAGAGAGAGGCAGAGGCACAGGCAGAGGGAGAAGCAGGCTCCATGCAGGCAGCCCCACATGGGACTCGATCCCTGGTCTCCAGGATCAGGCCCTGGGCCGAAGGCAGGTGCTAAACCGCTGGGCCGCCCCAGGTTGGCACTTTTAAAGGGTTCAGCCTGGTAGGTAAATCGTTTCCATGGTGCATAGCACCATGTGCATTTGCCCCGTTTACTGTTTTTATTATTAAGATTTCAGTAAGGTAAAGAAGGTGATATCCGATAATGGTTGGAAGAGAGTAAAACTGGTGGGTGACCTGATTTGATGTGCTGGCCAGCTACTTTGAATGAGGAGGGGGCAGGGGAAGGCTGACCTTTTGGAAGAGGGGACATTTGAACTGAGACTGGAGTAACCAGGGGGAGCCAGCCTTGAGGAGGTCAGGAGGAATCACTTCCCAGGTGTAAGAAAAGTGAAAGCCTAAGAGCCCAGTGAGCCTTAAAGCCCACTTGAGGAACATTGTAGCCCTGGGATTCACAGACTTTTCTTCGGAAAGGTCAGGTTGCGTACTTGAGGCTGTTATGTAGGTAGTTAATATAATTTCCACACATTTTTCATTGATAAAAATATGAATATAAAACTTTGTAATACAGGTCTAATGAGAAGAATGGGATTCTTTTTTTTTTTTTTTTGGAAGGGATAACGTTTAGCTTAATTGGAGTTCAAAATTTAATGTTCCCTGTCATCAAATTGATTACCAGGGATCCCTGGGTGGCGCAGCGGTTTGGCGCCTGCCTTTGGCCCAGGGCGCGATCCTGGAGACCCAGGATCGGATCCCACGTCGGGCTCCCGGTGCATGGAGCCTGCTTCTCCCTCTGCCTGTGTCTCTGCCTCTCTCTCTCTGTGACTATCATAAATAAATAAAAAAAAAAATTCAAAAATTGTCCTGATTATGCCCAAGAAAAGGTCTCAGGTTGGTGATAGCCTGACTTAAACACCTCACATTCACTCCCCCAACCTTTCCTTTTTTAACTTTTCCTTAAAACAAACAAACAAACAAAACAAACCAAAAAAACCCCCCAAGCTTTAAGTTTAAAGGCCTCAGCAGGTGGTAGTAGCTAGGATTTAATAAGGTGGTGTTTTCATTGTGTTTGTTTTTCATTTGTCTTCTATTTGTGGCAAATGCCTTTCCATTGATGCTGTGAAGTTTCTTTCTAAAATTTAAGTAAAAATAAATGATTTTACTAAAATACAAAATGGTAATCTGAGGATTTAGCACTTTGTTGAGGACCCTCCTGGTTGAGGAACAATAATACTGTCAGAGCACACCCATCCCCTTTTTAATACATTTTATTTATATTTATTAATGTTCTGTTTTTCTCAAAAATAAAAAAAATGATTGCTGTTTGATCTTGGGAATTTAAATGAAAATATTTGACTGGGATAGGGACTGGAAAAAAATGAGGTCCATGTCAGAGATCTCAAAATGAGAAAGTGGGAGAGAATGGCAACAAACCAGTTATTTTTTTTTTTAAATTTTCTTTTTTTTATTTTTTTTTTAATTTTTATTTATTTATGATAGTCACAGAGAGAGAGGGAGAGAGAGGCAGAGACACAGGCAGAGGGAGAAGCAGGCTCCATGTACTGGGAGCCCGACGTGGGATTCGATCCCAGGTCTCCAGGATTGCGCCCTGGGCCAAAGACAGGCGCTAAACCGCTGCACCACCCAGGGATCCCCAACCAGTTATTTTAGGTCTTTTTTTCTTCTCTTTTCCCCTCTTTGCTTATAGTTGTAAGTAGCTACAGCAATTGCAAACTTTTCAAGGTCATAGTCCAGTGTTTTAAGTTTGGTTTTCTACTCCTTCCAAAATGTAAAAATCAATTTCTGCAGCCTTTTGTATGTGAACATTTCCATTGCATTGCATTTTAAGAGGTTGTCTTTTTTTTTTTTTTGATCCATTAAAAAGCTGTGAACAGAAATGGGTCAATAATTCTAGAAATGTGGAGGCTAATTTATAAGCATGCTTTGGCAAAGTTGAACAGATTCTTAGAGATCCTGTTTTTAAAATATATAATCTTCTGAATCTCTAGTAGATTCCACATTGCATTCACTCATTTGCTTCCCATTTATTGAGAGTTTACTCTATCAGATAGGAATGCATTTAGCACAAGAAAGAGGAAGCCCTAATGATGATGCCTTAAGCAGGAAAGATGTAGAATTGGCTCCCACAGTAAGCCTGGAGGTAGATTTACTAATGTGGTACAGTGGCTTGAAGGGCCCAACGGGGACTCAGATCATTTCTGTTTCCACTCTGTTGTCATTGGCTATTTTGTCCCTGTTACATTTTTGGCTTTTTATCCTTACTGTTTGTCAAGGCAGGAAGTCACTGGGAAAATAAAAGTCCTTCCAGAAGCAGCTCCCCAGCAGTCTTCTGCTACATTTCATTGACTTACAACCATGTCAGTTGGCCATCTCTGGCTGCTATGGAGGCTGGAAGGTGGATATTTAGGTTTTCTTGCCTTAATAGAGGAGGTGAGTAAGGAGAGATTTGCCTCAGAGGCAGCCTGCTAGAGTGTGAGGCACTTTTGATTTTGGGAAGACACTGTACGTGCCTGTGAAGAACTGAGTCTAGTGAGGCCTGGTACATTTCCCAAGACATCACTTCTTACTCTTTAATGTGTACATAATTCACGTGGGCATCTTGTTACAAAGCTGATGTGGGTTTGGCAGAACTGGGGTGGGGTCTGAGATTCTGCATTTCTAGCAAGCTCCCAGGTGATGCTGATGTTGTAGGTTCAGGGAACAAGTAAAGTATCACAGAGCTGTGGTCTGCAGGATGAACAGAAATTAGGCAGAGAAGGGGTGGGGGTGGCATGAAAGGGCATGTGGTTTTGGGGGAACCATGAGACATTTGGTGGCTGGTTACACCATGGAAAGCAACGGAGGTGCAGAAAGTTTGGGAGAAGTGTGTTGTAAGTGGATTGTGAGTGGCTTTGCAGGCTGTGCTGGTTTGGACATTTTCCTCGGGAAGCTGAGAATCCAGGGCTGATTTTTAAGCAGTAGAGTGATAGAGTCAGATTATTTCTTCTTTTTCTTCTAATTCTTCTTCTTCTTTCTTCTTTTTTCTTTTCTTTTCTTCTGCTTCTCCTTTCTTCTTCTTTCTTCTTTTCTCCTTCTCCTTCTTTCTTCTTTCTTCTTCTTTCTTCTTTCTTCTTCTCCCCCCACCCCAGAATTAGGTAAGCCTGTTGGCACTGTGGAGGATTACTCCCCCCCCCAAATTTGATTGGCATTATTTTGAGCACAAAGGAAGTTGAGTGGAACACCGAGAAGGTAGATGCTAGGCATCCATGTTACCATGGCTCCTAACCTGCACATGTTTTTTAATTTTTTTAATTTTTTTTATTTATTTATGATAGGCACACAGTGAGAGAGAGAGAGGCAGAGACACAGGCAGAGGGAGAAGCAGGCTCCATGCACCGGGAGCCTGACGTGGGATTCGATCCCGGGTCTCCAGGATCGCGCCCTGGGCCAAAGGCAGGCGCTAAACCGCTGCGCCACCCAGGGATCCCTAACCTGCACATGTTGATGTCTGATACAAATACTCTATCCTTGAGCTCACATTCAGCCTCAGAATCCTGCCCTATTCTGAGCTCCAGGCAGCCACTACCAGTTGATTGGAGTTGGCAGAGAAGATGAAACCAATTTGCCATCTTGAGAGTTTGCCTTGAGGTCTCGAAAAAGCACTTAGTATGTCTTTGTGCTTTTATCATCTTAAAATTTCCTTAAGTCACTAATGATTTTCTTTGTAAGTTTTCCAATCAAGAATTCTTTCTTGATTTCTAACCACATTGATTTATTTGAACTTTAGGAGCTTGCCAGGTAAACGGATTTTTGGTTTTGGTGAGCTAGATGGTTGTTAAGGTAGGACTTTCATTTCCCAGAATGAAATTGATTGGCCCAGTCTTGGTATGCTGTAAGAAATTTCTGTCACCTCTCTCTTTCTCTCTCTCTCTCTCTCTCTCTCTCTCTCTCTTTTAAAGATTTTATTCATTTATTCATGAGAGACACAGAGAGAGAGAGAGAGAGACAGAGACAGAGAGGGGCAGGGACTCAGGCAGAGGGAGAAGCAGGCTCCATGCAAGGAGCGCGATTTGGGACTTGATCCAGGACTCCAGGATCACGCCCTGGGCTGAAGGCAGGCACCAAACTGCTGAGCAACCCAGGGATCCCCCCGTCACTTTTTTAAGCAGGTATTTTTCTCTTCGTAGAACAGGGTTCTCAGCCAGGGCTCTTTTGCCTTCCTCAAGCCCTTCATTCCTGGGTACATTTGGCCTCTCTGGAGACATACTTGGTTGACTGAACTGGGGTGAGGGTGCTTTGGGCTCTGCTTCCCTCATTGAGGGGTTATCTAGCCCAAAATGTGGGTAAGGCTAAGATTGAGAAACATCTCATTGGAGGAATGTTTTGAGTCTCCTTTGGGTGTTTTTCTTACTAACTCAGC